GGGGGGGCGGCGGCACTGACACGCTGACCATTGTGGGGAAGCTGGGAAAGGCTGGGCATGAGCTCACCTCTTGGTGACTATGGTGGAAGGCTTCTTTGCCCCAGTGACGGTAAAGCTCCAGGATACCAATCAGGTCACCAATTGCAGTAACAATTGGCAAACATAGAACAGATTGGATACGAGTCCCTGATTCCAGTCCAGTACCTCTGGGAAATCGCTCATCCTAGAAAACATAAACATAATCTGATAAAACATAAATAACATAACATTAACATAAAAGATATACTGACGTTTTCCTCCCGCTCCTGGATAATCAAATCTGCAGGAAAATTATAAAATTCACTAAAACTCATATCTCAGCATAATTTACACACAGTACTAAGACATCTACCAAAAAAAAAGCAATAAAAAAGTCTCAGCATTAATTTACATATACAGATAACCTGACTGATATAAAGTCAGAATTATCTGTGATATTAGATCCAGCTTTGGATTTGGTTTTATACTTTATTTTCTCTAATCTCATAAGAAGTAAAACTTTTTTTTAGCTCTTCAGTGCTAACGCCAGTCCAGATTAAGTAAAACCCCAAATAAATAACATTATCCCACCACCCTCTTCCCCCTCAAAAAAAAACTCAAAGCATTTCGACCCATGAAGTGGGACTGCTCAGATTTCAGTGTTACCAAGCAGACAGCAGTGCTTGCAAGAGAACAAAAATCAAAACCTGGGGCTAAGGCTTTAAGTTACACAGTTATAATCCTCAACCAACTCCTAGGGAGGAAAATGCATTCCCAAAAAATTACATATGAGTAGGAATCTTTGTCCTTCCTTTGCTTATGCATCCTGAATAAACTGGTGCAAAAGTTACAGGAACAAATGTCAAAATAATCCTACCAGCTGCTTTAAAAGGCCCAAATCAGTATCTTTTAATCTACATAGGGAATGTCAATGGCTTTATAGCTTTAGTTCCCCACGTAGGAAAACCTCACAAAGACCTGAGAAACCACCTGGATGTTACAGTTAGTAAGGTGTAAGGCAGTAACTAGCCCATGTGAAGCGCGTGAGACCCACTTCGTCACACATCAATCCTTCAGATGTACCAGATGTTCCCTGCAGACTATGCTTAGGCAAGACTGATCCTTCAAGGCTGATCAAAATTTCTCCTTTCTCAAAGAAAACAGCAAGTAATCTCTACCTTAATTACTAAAATGACAATCAATCTGAAGGGCTAGGAACAAATGACAGACAAAAGAGTGGGAAGCACTTTGCAACAGGAGCCTCCTGCTTTCACTTTTTAATTCTGTCCTCAAAAAAAAAAAAACAAGGCAGGCAAGTCTATCTGCAAGCGCTTCCCTTTCACTGTTCAGATGCTCCTAAAACCACATGAAGGCAAACCGTGTCACCAAAATGAATGTCCCTGCTCAGTCAATAATCCAATGATACTGTAAACCAACAAAAGATTTCAAAATTCCTCCCCACCACCTCCCCATCCCCTCCCCGATTTTGTTATGAATGTAAAATCAAAACATACAACCCTTGTATACAAGGATATCATTATATTAATTGGAAATTACCAGTAACAATTTAAGCCCTATATGTGACTGAAAAAACCTCGTAACATATAAAATCTTTATAGTCCAGGGTGTACAGAAAGCACTACCTGTTACTACAGGGAAAGCAGCTTCTGCCTTTTGTTTTTTGTGGTTCTGTTTAACTGTACTCACATTAGGCATTTGGTACTTTGTTTATAGCCCAGGTTTGCCCCATAAAGGTCCTATATTTTTTTACAAATATTTTTGAAAATAGAGACATGTCCAATTTTGGCCACAGACTGTTATTCTGGACAAAACTCAAAAGGATAAAAAACACTGAAGATGGAAGATAATTTAAACTTCTTTGGTGCTCCCATAACCAGCTGATCATAAAGTGCTCTCATAAAGTACAGTTTAAATACCAGTTTCATACAACTGCACAGATACGACTAGAGGATCAAGTTTTTAAAAGAATTAAAAAGGACAGACATAGAGAGTGCCAAGAACTATCAAAGTATCATCTTAGGATTTTCCGAATCCTTTTATGGACAAAGGTCTGAATTTTTATATCAAATCCACTAGTGTGCCTTTCATGTAGGTCTACCTATATTATAAGCATTCTAGCTTTACATTAGTGTAAGCCAAGATCAAAATCCTGTCTAATAATCAGGAGTCTAATTGACATTCTTGTCAGTGTGAGCCCTGCATTATAATTAAATCAAACTTTGATTGACTATATGGAAGTCTTCTTGTTTGGGATTAGCACACTAAGTATTTCAAGACCAGGAGGACCTGATAGGGTCTTTTCTCTCCAAGTGACTACGGTACCATTTACTTCCCTTATCTGACAACCAAAAAAATGTTAAAATAATAATAATAATAAAAATCTTTAAACTTAAAAATAAATGAGATAGTCTGAAATCATTCCATCAAGCTAATCCAAACTCAAATCTGTTTTCTTGGTAGCAATACACATGTAAACTATATCATTATACATTCAGCTCAATAAATATTTCAGCATCAAAATATTCATTCTAAGAACATGCTGTAATCATCTCATTAAAAAGAGAAAGTTTTTACCCCCAGAATATCTTCTACTAACAACGTCTTTCTGGATCTGGCTACATAAGCAGATACTGTAGTGCCATGTGCAATGGGCCCTGCAGGGATGAGCCGTGGCAGTCCTTCTTTAGCTCCTGGTGGTGTAAATACACACAGACTCTAGTTAGAAGGAAAAAAAAAAGAAGAAGAAAAAAAAAAAGAATGCAATTAGAAAGCATGGTTACTTTTACAGAGTTACTGTGCTACCTATGTAGCTCAAAGGATTAAATAAAGTAGATAATGTAGAGAAACAGCTTTTGACAATGAAAAGAAGTTGGACAAACTCCGCTTAACTGTTTTGAAATCTCAGTAAATCCCACTCTAAAGTCACCATTCAGACAGGGGATAACTTTTGCTGAAGTCAGTCATCACTTGTATCAGGGTTGAATGGTGTTCACCTTGAACATACAGTACACTGCATAAAGACTTACACAGGGAAATACTACCTTGTAAGAGAAAGGGATTATTTTTCTAGGATGCATTCATTTATTTCAATATAAAATACTCAAAAGCAGAGGTAATCTTTAAATATCTTTCCTGTTTACCTCATCCCAAGGAAAGTTACTTTCAAAATTATCCTAACACTGTATCGCTTGAAATTCTAGTGACTGCATTTGTCCCCTGTATGAGAGGAAACATCTATCTTGCTTGCTACCTACTTAAAACTGTCATTTTTTGAAAAGTGAGGTATGACAACTTTCACACCATGAAACTCATCAAAAGGTATGATAATTGTTCTATAACAAAAATATTAGACACCACCACCAGAATGAATAAGATTGCAAATAGTATTTTACAAAAGAAAATTAAACACATATATAGAGGTCGAACCTGCAAACCCTTCTGTATGCCAAGCATTCTTCAAATCTAAAATTTCATTCATTTTTGGATGAAAAATAAACTTTATGGAACAGTAGAGTGCTGGACAACAATGTCCCTATCACTTTTTAAAATTTTCTTTTATTTTTCCCCTAGGTAACCTGCAAAGCAGCAGTTTGTTAGTGACAAGCAATTTTAAAGTCACAAAACCTCACTCTCCAATGCAATCAGCAGGCATAGCTCATTTTACAAGCAAAAAGTTTCATCTTCTGTTTCACTTTTCTACCTTTGTCTCATTACATCCATCAATTTACCTGTCTCCTAATGCCACAGCATCCCAGAGACTCTCAAAATTTTAAAGCATTTATCACTGTCACATCCTTATTCAGCATAGCAGGGCTATTACCCTTTAAACACAAATGGAATTTAGGCACGTGAAGAATAAATGACATGGCAAAGTGTTAGAACAGCAGGGATCAAATCTGTATTTCCAACACAGCAGCTTAATGTCCTAATCTCCTGAGCCATCCCTCCTTCTACATTCTCAGTACTAAGCCAACTAAAGCACCACCCCAGAGACCCACCTTCTATTGGCAAATTGTGTTTTCTTACTTACTATAATGAATGACCCAGTTTATTTCACTGATAAATTTGTAAGACCAGGAGTATATTTAGAAGCTCCTATAGTAAGTAACTCTACTGCTAAATAGCTACATCATTTTAGATTATCAACTAAGATGAAACATTTTAAGCAAAGATCCTTGCTAGGAAAATAGATTTTTTTTTAGGTTTTTTAAATTTACATACGTAATACCATAGATAGACGACAGTGCCACCACACAATGTATTACTAACACTCCTAGTAAGAATGAGCACATTTCACCTTTTTTGCCACTCGTTTGTACTCATTAATTTTACTATCAGACTTTGCTTTTATTAGGGCTGCTATAAGGGCCAATTGCCCAAGATTCTACAGCATTAAAGTTTACACTTTAATATTAATTATATCTAATCTGTCTCCTATGTTTATCATTCACAAAGATTTCTCTAACAGCAGGCAAAAGCAGGTACACACATACTCCAGATTCCACTACCTCAGAATGTAGCATTGCCTTGAAAGACTGAACAAAGAACTTTTAGTTTGTTCAAATAACATTTCAGCTTAGGCTTAGCAGTAAGTAGGGAGCTCACACTGGAATTGTTATTAATAATTGTTATTATTTAAATAATATGCCATTATATGCATACCTAATTCCCTGCAGAAAACAAAGGAAAAAACCAAAACAAACCAAGAACAAAACATAAAATCTAAAAATATCTATGGGCCTGATTCATTAAAGACATTAAGTGAAATCTAGGCACTATGCAATCAATGGCATTTCTCTTATTTTGCTCTCCTAGACCTGTGAGGTCAGTATTACTATAGCACCCGAGTACCTCACAATCTCTAACTATGCATTATTACAACTCCCCTGTATGTTAGGTGGTGACACTATCCTCATTTTATACATGGAAACTACAATAAAAATTTGGTATTAATACGGTTATTTTAGCTGAGGCTCCAACTACCATTCGAGTACAAACTCCACAGCTCACCATATAGCCTACAGAATGCCTCGCACTAACATGTAGAGCTAGACTGAGCCAAATCGATCACAAGACAAAGAGAACTCAAGTGTGAAAGAAAGGAGACAGACTTCAGAGATCAGTAGTTAACAATCTGGACCCTGTGAGACCGAGTAGATTACCAAACAGCGGCTGTTTTCTAACATGGAATATTAAAGGTAGAATTTGCATGTGAAAATTCAGCATCTACTGTCAGCTGTATAAATGAAGTAATGATATGACACGCATTCTCTCATACTTATCATTTCTTCATTCTGCAAACATGCAAGGCACATTATAAAACATACTAAAGAATTAAAAAAAGAATACACTGAAAGGTTCAGAAACTAAGGAGATGCAAAATATAATGTACCACATGCAGTTACTCCTGCAGCGACGAAGGTATCTTAGCTGTAATGGATTAACAGCATGTTGGAAAGAGAAAGTTGGACTTTATGCTGAAGGGAAAACAAATGGTCAAATAAAAGTAAGGAATTCATAGCCAAAACAAGAGTGAAGTCTATCCAAGGAGAATCAGCAGTCTGATGGTTAGGGTATTTAGTGAGTTCGGAAGAAAAACACTCCAGATTCTCACTAACTGTTTATTTGCCTTGTTCTTAAGCAGAAAGTCAGGCAGTCTCAAAAAGTTCAGCAAGACAAGGGAAGAATTTTCCATCCAGTTATTCATTTGCTAATACTATGATACAGATGAGAATTAAACTACCTTAAAAGAGAAAACAGAGCTGCCACATAGTATCTTAGCTCTGACAAGTCATTTCAGCGAATTTATTTCACACGTCTCATGCAGTTGGAAGAAAAGATACTTTTTTCTACTGAACATGCACAGCATTTACTCCATTTTGATGTCTTGCATTATGGCACAAGTGCATGAAATGTTGAAATTTTCTGTTTATTCTGATCCCAAACCTCAATCTTATTCTTCAAAGCCATTTACACTCACAGCTTCTTTAAAGAGTGGCCTTTAACAGTGAAAGTCAGTGGAAAAGTCAGAAAGTTTAGTTTCCATATGAATTACAAGAATGTGCTACAGGAAAAAAAAAAAAAAGCAACACACACACAAAAAAACCCCAAACAACAAAAACAGTTAAATCAATACATTGAATCTGCCAGAACAAGCCTGTTCCATTTACCAGAATAAAGATCCACTTATTCTTCCTTTTTTATAACCTAGTAAAATATAATTCTTCAATGAAAACTTAGTTTCACTGTTACTTGTCTTCATAAGCTTCAGTTTCATGTTTCTACATGAACTTAAATAGAATGAAAAAGAACATTTTACATAACAGATCCAAGAAAAGCATCCCATGATCTGAAAAAAAGTACATTACTCTAATAAAACTGAAGAAACCATAGTTCACAATTTATGTAAATCAGTGTTCTAAATATTTAAAAATAAAAAAAAAAACCAAACTAGTAAAAAGTTTAGGATATAAATGGCACAAAAATACTGAAATACATGTCTTCACAAACGTCTGACCTGCTATACCATATGCTTATAGGAAAAAGATTTACTACTTTAAAAGTACTTCTATAGTAGTAACAGCAACACTGTAATCTGTTCAATACTGAAAAGGTGGCTCATGTTGCAAAGTACTGCAAAATGTAGGAGACTAAACACAATATTTAAAGTCTGAATTATGTAGTGCAACGAGTAAAATTAAATTAACAGGACAGCGGAGAGCAAAGTCGACCTCTCCAAAGATTAACACTTTCAGTCACACCATCCTTTTTACCTTTTCTTAAGACACATTTGGTTCTTTATGCCAAGACAGCAATGTGTGACGTTTTAGCAAAGTAACCATGTTAAGTTAAACATATAAAATGTGCTTTTCCACACTGGTCTTCTGAGTCATGCCCGTAACTAAATAAAAAACAACACACAAATCTGTCTCTTCTCAGAAACAGCTTCTCAAAGCAAAATACAAGAAAAAAGACAAAACCAAATGGCCACTTTCACCAGAAAACAAAGAACTCCCTTCTTGCACACATATACAGTTTTCTCCGGAAAAGGCCTTCACCAGATCTCCAATGGCCAAAAAAACATGTTGACACCATGAAGCACTGCTAGCAAAAGTTGCTTTTGCCAGCACAGTCTTTCCTGTGTCCTTGTGTAAGTATCAGTTTGGCTGGTAAACCTCCCTGCTGCTACCACCATGAAGTACTGCCATAAACAGGCATCCCTATATTGGGAAAAGCTCATGGACATTATTTTACTTCCAGTGCTAAAGAGAGTTTTGCAGAAGCAATCCCATTCTGCTTCTTATGGGAAACTACAAACCCCACTGCTAAGGAGTCAGTGATCAAAAAAACTTTTCAAACTACACAGTAGGTTATAAACTTGTCACTACTCCTCCTGAGTCTGTATAGGTAGAAAAGTATGACTGTGAAAGGTCAGACCTCCACATAGACCTCAAACAACGACCCTTGATCTCCAAGGCCACAGAGCAATTATTAATCTTATCCTGATCATGCAGCACTACTAAAAAGAAAGGCAAATTAGTTCAAAAGCTTCTACCATTCCACATTGACTTCATACATACACTTAATGAAGTTTCGTGACTGTTAATACATTACATATATGATCAATTTAAATCTGAATGAGTTTAAACATTTATTGCAAATTAAGGACATGGAAATTTCTCGAGTTTTGTTGAGATTTTGTGAACAAAGCTTTT